CAAGGAATATGAATCTGAATTTATTCCAGATCCTTGCAGCTAGATCAGTTTGAAATTACTTCCTTTCCTCACTTACATTGATTAAACTGTGTGAATTAAATCAGTTGGAAAAAATGATGGTATTTTGTATTGGTATCCTATATTATCAAATCAGTCACTGCAGAGGACATTTATCAAAAAATATATCATTCATTTAGATATTTAATAGGCAAATCTTCAAATTTTGAGAATTTCCAAGTTTAATTTAAAAACTAAAACAGTTTTTATGGATTATCAGCATTTCGTGGATTCATTAGTTCTAGCAATAGTGAATGAGATTCTTTCTGGTGAGGTTTGAATTTGCTTATGTCACTAACCAATCAACAGTATTCAAGACTTGGTTCACCAATCGAAGTAGATAAAACAAATGAACACTGGTAGCTGGTTGTGGGTGTGCCTTGTCAGCAAGCTGGCCATATGGAGTTTTCAGAAATTTGTTTACATATCTCACATCTAAGTAGGTGCCCAGTTTTCTATAGAAAGTCTTGTTGGGAGCCATCACTCATTTTGCAGATCACATTTAGTATTGCTGGAGTTTAAAGGTGCTTGATTGTGTGTGAGATCACTTTCCCTTCTCCCATCAATCAAGTCCTATTTCAGGATACACAATGAAAATGTTTAAGTAATAGAGCCAAAACATTGAAAATTAATTAATTTATTAGTCAATTTTAAATTCTTTAAACACAGTTTTATTATAGTTCTGCTCGAGAGAAAGAACAATTCCAGTGTACTGCTTTTAAGTGTAAGTGTGTGTGTATGAGATAGGCTCAAAGAATGAAAACGTTCGATTAAGTGAAAAAAACATCAACAACACATAATCTCTTTAAATCATCCGCAATGCAATATTTGTGTTGTGATACTTGTAGAAACAGCCACAACATGTGACTAAATCAAAAAGACCACAAAGTGAAATTCATGTAGTGGTTTTCATGATGTTTGACCACTATGCATTGCGCTGATTAAGAAAAGCCATGACGCATTCTGAATATTAGCTGATGCAACCACGATAGAGGGTGATACAACACACTGATTTGTAACTTTAAAATGTGTGTTCTAGCCTCAACATTTTTATTTACAATTTTTAATGCTGAATAATATTAGTTCTACAAGTTTTCCTATAAATTTAATTTTCATACTTGAAAAAAATTTCAAAGAAATAAAATGTATGGAAAAAAATACACATTTGGTTTTTTTTTTTTTTTTTGCTTAAAAGTGCTAAAGGTCAAACTACATGTACTTGTAGGTGCTTGATGTATTCTACACAATGACATAAAAAAGTCAGCTACTAAAGTTAAAAACCATTGTGCGGTGGATTTATTATGACTAAAAGCCACCACAAATTCTGGATGTTAACTAATAACAAGGTGTTGATAAGAAAATAAAATTTTCTTTTTCATTATGATTTATTTATCTTCAATCATCTTATATAAGTAGGTAACAAAATTATTCACCACATACAGAAATGTAACGTGGTTACTTTTTAACAACATTTAATCATTTGTGAAAATCTTTTGCAGTGCTTGATATGTCAGCATTTTCAAAAAACTAATTTACTAAAAATAATTACTTTGTCAGGAACTTTTATTAATAAATCAGTCTTTTTTATGAAAATTGAGAATGTTGCAGAGTTATTTATTTTTACAAGAACTATTACCGTGACATTTTGAGTTGCATTTTATGTTTTAACTCAGCCTCCTGTTTGTCAGGGATTTGCGCCTGACCACCTACCAATGTTCAATAGTTTAATCCATTCATTTGCTAGTAGGATCTTATATGGGACTGATTCTATTGCTCTGAAGGACCTGGATCGAAACTGGGTGAGCAAATTCCCCAAGAATTTGGTCACCCAGTTTTGATCCAGGTCCTTCAGAGCAATAGAATCACGCTTTCATCACTTCGGCCATCCGGTCATCAATATTTTTCTTTAAAAGATTTCTCATTTAATGTTCAATATTTAGTTATCACACAGTCACTTTATTTGCTGCTGCAGGGGAAAAAAAAAGTCTGATCATGGTGTAGAAATAGCAATTGAAGGAAAGTTAGTAAAATGGAAAAAATACTGTCGATTTACCAAACAGTTTTTTTCAATTTAAAAGAAAAGATGGCACTACATAGTCAAAAGTATGTAATTTGTCATCTTTTTCATCACGAGATAGTCTACAATAAAAATTTCTCTCTTTTAATTTAATACTTACGGATTCACTGAGTCATTGCATCAGCAAACATTCAGGACACGTTATGACTTCTTAATTACCACGACGCGAATTTCGCTTTGTGGTCTTTTTGAGTTAGTCACAACATGTGGATATTTTTTCGCTTAATGAGCGTTTTTGTTCTTTGAGCCTAATATATACATATAGTAACACGTAAAAACAATATTTTGTTCATTATTTTCATCTCAATTTAAGTAAAAAGGATTAATGGTCCATTTGTCTTACATCAACAAGTAATACTTACTTATCAGGATTATAGTGGTGATCTTCCCACCAGTTTAGTTTTTGAAATCAGATTCAAAGAATCAATCATAGTTCAATCAAAATCAGTGTTATGCTGAGAATTGTATGATCCACTTAAAGCAGAGTGATACACAAATCTTAATTTTGTGTAAAGCAATCTTGCTCTTTTATCCTACAGAGACTTTTAGCTGGAGAATGTTGATGAAGTATTTGAAATAGCATCAAAATCATATTGCATGAGCCAAAAGTCATGAGAATTTACCAATATTTTCAGGGAAACATTAATATAATTAAAGTTATTACCACTAGCATTTTAGGTAACTGTCCCACTTTATTAGTTCATGGATACTGTCATATGAAAGTTTTTCAAAACCATTTTTCAATGAAGTTCTTCAGATCATCATCAAATGTGAAGTGCCTTGTTCAAAGGACCAGATGATAATATATGGGTACTCCAGGCATCAGAAACTTGCACATGTATTTCCTTCAATGGATTTCCTTCAGCATGCCAGTCATTAGTACTGTATTTGGGTTGCCTGAAGTTCTTGCTTGATAATGTCTTTGCAATCTTTCCTGAACATTGAATTCTATCTTACAACATTTTGAAATGACAAAAGGCTCTGCCATGTATAGTCATATCTATCTATGGCTGCTCCACAACCTTTCACTCACAAGAAACTGGATCACAGCTTGTTGATCAATTCTGGATGGATTTGGTATTGTGGTAGCTCTCATTTTTCTCCTAGCACTGCAAATTCATATGCCAGAGTAACATGCTATTCAGAAATGTAAATCATATAAATGGACTGATTGTCTCAACCATAAAGGCAATGGCAGATCCAGAAGATACTAAAGAGAGGGGACTAAATCAAAAATTTTAAATATTTGAATAATAAAAGGTACTTATAATTATTAATGTGTATAAAAATTGTATTGTGAATGGTCTAATAAACCATAAATAAAATCATAAATGTTTTTAAAAATGATGTTTTGAAGTTTGAACAAATAAATTTTAAATTTTTTGTGTGTTAGTTGGGAGGATGTAAGCCCCCTGTGGATCTGTCCTTGCATAAGTGGTTGCAACAATATGTGTACAACAATTTGATGCAAACTCTCAGCTTTTGGCTCACTCCAATATTAATTTAAAAAAAAATAATTTATTAATATAATTGTAATGTTTGAAATATTTTCTCATCCTTAACATTAATATTTTATTCTAAATTCTTTCTAGTATCATTTATTTTTTTAAGTGGAAATACATTTCCAAATTTTTAAAAAATTTTACCTAAATTTTTTCTTAATAAATGTCATTAGAACCCATTTTTTTAAGTTTTTAATATATATAACCTTGTAAATCTAAAAACACTTCTAATTAATTAATGAGAACGTTGAAAATAAACCATTTTTAATCATAGGAAAATTTGGAATTCCTAAAAATTATTTTTAGAGATTAAGTAGACACCTTGTTTATATAATGTAAAGCCTGTATTGTGTATTATCTCAGTGTGCCATTCTTATCTTGGGTTATGGGTGGAAATGCTTTGCAGTTGATCAACTGTGATTATATAATTTTTTTTCTATTTTCTATACGTATCTGATGTATATATTTTTTATAATTAGTCACATATTTAAGTAAGTTTTGGAGACTAATTTTTGAAACTTTCTTGCTGAGAGCTATTTCAGAGACTGCTTACATGTGTTTACATTTTATATCTTAATTTTTGATGTAAGATTCTCATCTTTCAATGTAGAGTCATTGCAATTATGTTTGTATTTTTTTTATTAGGAGAATTCCTCACGATATTCCTTCTAAAGAATGAGAAATAAATGAATGTCATTGTGTTCTGAAATATATCTGCATTTCACACATTTATGGTTTGGTGTTTGCAGCCATTTGTCATATTCACAAAGCTAAAGTTTGTTTATTTACTGAGGGATTAAATAAAAATGATGAACAAAAATGAATTATTTTTATTTATATAAATAGTTAAATGATTTCTAGATATTTTATCTTAAATGTATTATTCTGTAATTTCTGTTGTTCACATTACATTGGACTAGTGATACAATATCAAAAAGACCAATGATGATAATGACCCTTGAAAAGAGTTAAAATGCTAGATCATTTGTAGGGTGAAAATGCAGAAGATATATGATTGCTTGTGTTTTTGTCATAAATAAATTTATCATAAGATACGGAGAGAGATTAGATTACAAATGCAGTAGCAAAGTTTCTTTGAATAAAAACATATTTTTATTTTATAATCATATATGTTTCCTTTCTATATCTACAGAAATTTTGCAGAACATAACTCCTGTGAATATGGAGCTTTTACTTTAATTAAATCTATGAGGATAAGCTCAAAAACTCTTAATGTTTATAAGTTTATTTCAATATAATATCATTAATTATTTGAATTATTACCTCCATATTCATAATATGAGAAATTTAGTTTTTACTTTCAAAATAATAGTTATTTAATGATTTATTGTATTTTAATATAGAGAGTAAAGAAATTGAAGAGGAATTGTCAATGGAAACAGAAGAAAAAATATTAGAAATTGAAGAAAAATCCGAGGATACAAGTAAAGTTACTGAAAAGGAAGAAACTGAAACCGAAGCCGCAGAAAAAGAAACCGTTGGAGTCACGACTCGTCGGGGTCGAGCCACCAGAGGACGCAACAAGAGGAAATCTTAATTAACTTCCATATTGTTTCTAGAAAGTTGGTCAATTGAAACATTTTGTGTTAAATGTCGTGATTCAATCAGCATCAAATATTGTATTTCTCAAGTACAATCATATTTTGTACTGTGTGTAACTGTAGTATTTCTTAATGTATATTTTAATGCTCTATATTATCTTTTAATCAATACAGTTTCTCTTAACAAAGATATTGTTAAGCATTATTGTAATTCTCGAATCATAGAATTAAATGTCCTTTATGGTGAAATAATAATAGTAATAATTCTAAGATTTATTATATAGAAAATTACAAATTGATCGTTAAATAATTACATGATAGATTATATTTGTTTTACAATTGATGAAAATTGTAATTGATTTAAAATTATATAACATAATTTTCAAAATTAAAAATAATGTAACTGAAAGAGAATTTTAAGGAAAAAATAAATTGATTTTATTATTCATATAAAATATCATGAAGAATTTATTAATGATCCTTATTAACTTTTATAACCTTTATTATAATGCTTTCTTTTTGCCATTCTCATGCCTATCATTGGTTTGATCAATCCATAATGTGTCAGCGGGATGTTGAGGCTGGGCCTTGTGCATTGGATCACACCATTCATGAAAATTTCTGGGGACCAATCTGAATGCAAGTCTAGAGTGATGCTTCATTGTCTTTCCCTCTAGCCATTGGTTTATACTACTTGTTGTTAGGATTAAGAAAGAAATACAGTGGTACCTCATACTTTGAATGCTAAATTCAATAAAAATTTACTTTGGAGTTTGAACTGCACATGCAGTGAAAAAATGCAATCTGTTGAATGCCCAAGTCATCTCTTGCTCTCATTCTCACATTACGGTTGTATGTTTTCAGTACTTTTTGCTTTAGTTTTGGTGTGTTCGGTTATATATATGCGTATATTTTTTGTGTTGTTTGTCGATTTTTGACAATTTATTCCCGCAATTTTTCTTTCCCAGCTTTTGGCCATCCCATATGTTTTGTAACCTTTAGTTCAAAATTTCTCAAATGGAATTTCTTAAATCAGATTAGATGTGTTTGAAGTTTAGTAGCATATTCTTTATACACAATACAAATTTATTTTACTGTTTGTAAGACATTATATTGTTTCCAAAACTTGTAAAGCATATTCTTAATATGCTTTTTATCCTAAGACATTACACCTTGAGCTTATTCCAACTAAGTGTGAAGTAGAAAGTTTAAAATAAGCTTCTAAGCAAAGAACACAATCTCACATTAGCAATAATGTGTTAAATTCCACAACTCTATAATTTAATCATACATCTGATATAAATAACTACAGCTTTCAAAAATATGCAAAAACTTTCTGTTCAACCCAATATAATATTTACTTATTGGCCATGGCATTCAGAAAGTGTGTGGAAGCAATGCGTAAGAGGAAGATTGTAATATCAACAATTAAGGCGAAAAAGATAGTTATCACAAAGCATGCTGTTTTAAAGATTCCGTACTAAAGAAGTCATTTCGCAAATCTTGCTTGAGAGTTGCCCAAAATGATCTCTGGAGCATTTATAAAAATATGTGCTTCAGATTTCTATGAATTTATCATTACCCTTTATGTAGTAACATAGATTCATTCTTGCTATTGCACATTATGGAAGCCCAGAAAAGAGATTTATCAAATGTACCGTAAACTACAGTGAGCAAAAAGTATTTGCACCCAGGCATTATTTTTCATAAGTAAACTTGCAAAGCAACTACGGCAAAATAATTTTAACCATTGAATTACTTTTACAATTAATATTCACATACATGTTTTATTTTTGACCTTATCCAAGGAAACATCTATAAAAGTAAAATAGCATTTTTCTCAAGCCAAAAAAAAGTATTTGCACATGCACCATCTTGTTTTACAGCAGTTAAACATTACAATATATAATTAATTTCCAGCATATGATAAGCCCACACTATTTAAAAGTCATGTTCTGAAACTGTTGGAGCATGAATTTGGCTTGTTTGATTTGTCATAGTTTTGCTTGTTTTTAATGTTTTATTGAAGAATCAATCTCTGAATAGAAAAATTTTATTAACATGACAATTTAATATCACCAATTTATAAATAAATAATTATATAAATTTTGTAATAAAAAGTAACAAGTTCAGTTTTAGATCCCATTTTCACTGATTTTGAAACATGTTTCTGGTTGAATCATAAATGACATTGATTGTCTTACTTATTTAGTGAATTAAATAACTTGTCTTCAATGTTCATGTATTTAAAGTTTGCATACATTTGTACAGGATTGGTTTTCTAGACTTAAAATAATTTTGTTCTCGACAACTTACAAATACTGTAATGAATAAAAACAATGGGTTTTTTTGCATGTTGATAACGTGACTATAAAATGCCATAGAAATAAATATTATACGTAACTTAAGAACTGAATATATAGCAGATGTATTAATATAGAAAGTCCGTTTGTCTTAAATCACCTCAAACACATCTATGTAATAGCTGTCATTGCATTTTTTTTATATAGTCCATTAAAATATTTTGCTTCTCCACACTCATTCTATGGACATTTACTTACAAGATACTTTTAAAAAGTTATTTCTCCAAGAAAAGCAGTCTGAATTAGATAATATCATTTTTAAAAGAATACAAAATTAAATTACTTACGAATAAACCTGAATATTTTTTAAATATTGAATACTGAGAATGTAAAATTTGATATATTATGATTATAAAATGTTTTGAAGATAGGTATAAAGATAATTTCCCTTTCTTAGATTTGGATAAACAATTAATGAATTTATGAAAAATTTGTTATTTTATGATATTTAATCATCTAAACTTTTCTTTTTCGCTCAAATAAAATATTAATGGTTCAGTTTTTGTTGTTATAAACAGGCCTAGAAAGATTGAATGCCAGCAGAACCATTTGAGCCTGGATTCAGAAAGGCCTTCAAATTATAATAATGTAAAAATTATATGAAAGTGATCAGCAAATATTGCAACATTCCAGCAGCTTACCAAAATCCTGGGATGTCTTGAGAACCAATATGAAAAACACTGTTCTAGATAAAGTTGACAACTCTCAGAGTTGATTTTGGAGTTTTTCATCCCAGAAATAAAATATTTCAGGAGCTTTTGTGTTTATTCTCGGCAATATCAAAATGTTGTCACCTATTCTTTAATCTATTTTAATAAATAACCCAAAAATTGATCATCAAGCTGAGTTAATATGGGAAGAATAGGCTGCAATTTAGGAGTCTGAGAATTTAAAAACTTTTGTCAAATTCCAGGAATATTCTGGGAGTGCTGGCAACTTTAGTCTAGAGATCCTATTATAGACGTTTTGAACAGGTGTGTCACAGCACTTGATAAGCCACTTGTCGAAGCGGTTCAATACTTCAAAAATTATATACCTAAATATATAAAAATATATACCATATGTAAATATATTGATTTCCTATTTTGTATATTAAAAAAAAATACAAATAATCAATGTGGTATCTTTGACACAACATTAAATATTTGAAAAAAAGAAATGTGAAAATAACTTGTCATTAGCCTATTAAGACAACTGCATTATTAAACCAAATATAAATCTACACATTTTAGATAGAACTTTATTTTATAAATTCTTTAATAATTATCAAATTTAATTTTAAATAAATTTACTTAATTGACTGTAAACATTTACAAATCTATTAATTCTATCCCCTAAATAATGATAAACAATTGCATTGATTAATGTTATGCAAGTTAATTCCAGAAAAAAAAAATGCAAAAGAACTCTATTTGTATGCTTTTTTATGAATGAATTTAATTAAGTGACTTTTTATCTTATTTTTAAACCATTTTATTTATTTAAAAAAGCTTTAAAAATTCATGAAAGTTATAAATTGTTACCTTATTTAGTATATTTCTAAATAGAATTTTGAAGTAAGTATATTTTTATTTAATAAAATTACATGTTTGGGATGATTTCTCAGTTTGATTCATTTATCAAAAGTGTTTTTAATATTTATAAGAAAGGAAATAAATATTAGTTAAATATTAAAATGAGTTAAAGTGTTACATTATCATATTCATTCATTATTGATCATGGTTTTATCTTAATTAGTGCTTTATTTCTTATGCATTTTGCATATAATATTTATTCTAAATCTATTTTAATCATTTACACAGTTAAATACTTTTATTATTTTTTTATAATAATAATTGTTTTAAATACTTGTTTATTGACTTTTAGTAAAAAAAAAATGAAACCTTATTCAGTTTCTGTGTGGATAATCCATAGAAAATGGTTAGAACAAAAATAAAACCCTTCTATAACCTGTCTCATGGTATACCTTTCACCTAAGGAGTAGCTTCATGGGCACAGATTCACAATTGTAGTTTAAATGTCTCTACCCAAGTCAAGACCTTTTAGATGTCAAGGAGTCTCCTGCCAGTACTGAGAGCACAAGTAGGCCCCAGTATATTCAAAAAACAATATTAAGAAATTGCATGATGTGTTTTAGAAAATAAAATTTGGCATTTTGGCTTAATACACAAGAAGTACAATAGAAAAATTTATACTAAATATCTTGAAGATGATGTAAAATGTGAAGCGCTCACGGGTGCTAACAAGGCCAATCTGAGTGGGGCTTTATGCAATTTGATCAAAGCTGTATAGATAAACGAACCCCCAAAAATTATTCTCAATAACATTGCCATGCCGTTAAAGTGATGATGGGCCCCTGTAATTGTCCATTTTGCCTTAGGTTAACACGCTACTGATGTAATGCTAGGATCTCAAACCTTGAGTAACGTAATGATTCATTTTTGTTTCTGAACTATAGTATTGCTTTATACAGTACATTACACATGTAATTAATAAAATAATGTAACGTTAGGTATCCAGTGTCTTGTGTTATTTTTAGTACAATTAAGGGGTCGGTCAAGTATATGCATTACGTAATTTTGGAGTGGGTGTGTGTGGCGGTATTACGGAGCATTATTGAGGTTGGGATAGTA